CACACACACACACACACACACACACACACACACACACACGCCCAGGGCAGCCTGCCCAAGAAGTCTAAGCCATTTGTACAAATACGATTGTTCAATGGCTAAGGCAGTCAGCATGGCCAGCCAGCCCGGTGTGCCCTTCCAAACAGCCACCAACTGACATCATAAACTTTGCAGAAGGCAACCACGACATGACAGCGCAGGGTTTCACCTACCTTGGCCAGCTCCTTCACTTTTTGTGCAAATGCTTTCCCCTCCGCACGCCTCACAAGGATTTCTAGGGAAATTTGGAAGGACTGGTGAGGGGGTGGGAGAGGTGAGGGAAGGAGGGTAATATAAATAAGGAAGCGTTTTAAATGCTCCACGCCAAAAAAGAAAAAAAAAAAAAAGCTCAGATTTCACGATGTGCACTCTTCCCGGAGCAAAGCAAAACAGTTCGCGTTCAGTGCCAGACTTGGAGGGAGAGGGAGGAGAGAGAGGGAGGAGGAGGGGGGGAGAGGGTGAGGGGAGGCTGAGGGAGAGAGGGAGAGGGAATGAGAGGAGAGGAGAGGGAGAGAGGAGAAAGGGGGGGGGGAGCCCGAGGGAAGGAGGAGAGAGAAAAGGCAGCCCCCCCTCCCACGCTCCCGCCCCCACACATTCAGGCGCCTCCCGAGTAACTGATCAACGCAAAGACCTCGTCACCCACGTTCGAAAACCCCATTTGGGGACTAGGTTGCAATGCACACACTCTGGTGGGGGAGTGGGGCGTCTATAAATAGACCCTATTGATATGCATTGCATTCTGAACGTAAATATGTGTGCGATGACATACGGTGTCTTTGACAGGTATGATACTTTTTTTTTGGCACTGCAGTGCGTCTGATTATATCTGTTTGGATTTTCTTCTTTCCTTTTCTATTTTTTATTTTTATTTTTGCATTAAAAAACCCCACCAAACAAAACACCAACCCCTCCGCACACATCAATTTTGGAGCTGTTTGGGGAAAACGGTGGGGGTCTCCAAGCATGCAAACCTCCGTCCCCCCCCCACCCCCACCCCGCGCCTGCAAAGCTGGGATATTTGCAGAGTTGGGGCTCTTTGAAAAAGCTCCAGGTGTGGCTCGGTCTAGCTCGCCCAGTTCCAGCAGTGTGTGCTATTGACCTGCATTGACGTCAGTGCGTCATTAGGTCTCCCTTAGAAACACTGACTTTCAAAAATAGTATCAAATTAATTCAGTTGGAGCCTGGTGAAGAAAGGCTACTAGCTGGAATCAGCCTTAAAACTCCAGAATGTTCAGCCTTAGCTCTCTTCCATGTTCACGAGCCACAGAGAAATCAGATGGTATGGAAAATGCCATTGATGGGGTTTTTTTTCCCCTTAAGAAAAGGGACCAAATTAGATTGCAAAACCCAGAACTGCCTCCCCCCCTACCCCCACCCCTTTTTCTCTCTCACTCACTCACTCACTCTCTCTCTTTTCTGATCTAAAAATAACCCTCTGCTTGAGCTGACTGCGGTATCTTTTGTGTTGCAGCCCTATGTTTTTAGCAGTCCGGTCCCCAGGCAGGGTGGCACGAAAGTATAGATATCGATCTATCTATATTTGCGACCCCAGAAATTAATTTTCATAAAACAGGTGTGCTTGACTGTTGTGTGTGAGAAGAAAAGAGGTGGGGGGGGCCCTGGGGAGGGGCATGCCATTCACACTTTGCCATTTCATTCTTCTCAATTCATTTTTTTTAAACACATAATTCCCACCCCAGTGGCTCACGTGGCCTCTGACCAGCACATGCAACCCCCATTCACACAAACAAAGCACAGGCGCATTCACGCTTAGTGCAGACAGTACATTCATAAGCAAAGGCTCTGGGAGGTTCCTTCCTCTCTCGGTTGCTGGGCAGAAAAGGCACAACCGGTCCACGGAAACTGGATTGGGTTTCAATCTGAGGGACTGAAATGTGCAATCAGATTGCATTCTTAAAATCTACATTCATTAATATGTGCTTTTTTTAAATAAGGAGGGACCCGCCCCCCCCTTCCCCTAGCCACAATACAGCTTCAATTGTTCTCCTTGACAACCATTTTTATAGACACTAAACAAGTTAGTAACATCAGTGACCACAGACAGAACTCAGGAGGCACAGTGGGTGTGATGCACCACATTTGAAACGTTTCTTTTTGGGGGAGTGTTAGAGGGTTCTATTTTTGGAGGAAATACTTAATCATTTCAATGTTCAATCATTTTATAAAGGCATTTTTCCCCCACATTTCTTGTTTTCCTACCCTCTCTCCCTGACCCATCCTCCTCCCCCTCCAATAGGCTGTACTTGTGCTTGGGGGGATCAAAGATTTGGTTCCCCTAACTTGTTCAGCCTTTCCTGTGACTGTTAATGAGGGACCATTGTGTACAGTGGTCCTCACAGAGGCCACTGGGATGGCAAGGGATGTGGTGAGCTTTGGGTGGAGGCGGAGAGCCCCAAAATGTATTTAAATCATGACCTAGAATTAAGTGGGCCTTAATGAAAATATACCCACTACTAGTTTTGGCTCAAACATTTTTGCTTATCACAACATCCTAAAAGAATACGGCCCCTCCTTTCATTCTCTAAAATCGGTTTGAGAGAGAGATCTACCTTGCTGATCTACACATTTGGAGTCAAATATCCATAATGTTACCAGGCCGGCCTACTGGGTGTGGAGGGTCAAACACATCAAGCCCCGTCTTCTACCCATCTGACCCCAGGGTGGAGCACCGAGGGCTGGCATCCCATGGGGTCGATCAAGTTTATCTAAGGACAGTTACTGGTGGCTGCAGGAGCCTTCAGTAGGCAGGAGAGACAAACCACGTGTTTCTCCTTGTCTTTCTCCCCTTTCCTTTCCAAGGGTTCAGGGAGGACTAGGTGCTCACCAGCAGCAGCAGCAGCGGCAGCGGCAAAAGGGAAATGCTATGTGTACCCCACGGCCCTCCTCAACCAAGCCGCAGCCTAGCACTCCTAGACCTTGGTAAAGGCCCTGATCAGTGAATGCTTTCAGACACCCAGGCACCTGCAATTCACTACCCTGGCTTACCAAGGCTCCCATCCACCCCTCATCACAAATGCATTCATTCACAGAAACCTACAGTCATTCACACACCTGCACACAACCACATTCATTCATATTTTAGCCACAACTGCTACCACACATGCACCTGCAAAGGCTGGGCAAGTTGTATACATGAGAACAGCAGGGACATGTCTTTAGAAGGCTGCCCTCCACCTCTCCCCCCTTACACACACACACACACACACACACACACACACACACACACACACGCATGCACTTACTTTGCCCTCCTTCTTTCCCCCTAAGGGGTTTTAGCTCTGCAGTGTACACAATTCTGGCAGGAATGAATGTCTGCCATACAGACAGCTAAATCTACAGCTGTGTAAAAACCCACTGCCCTTGTCCACGATTAGATCATGGACAAGCAGCCCAAATGCTGGCAGGGCTGCCAATGCCTAGGCAGATTGGGTGGGAACAAGGAGGCATGATTCTTTTTCTGGCCTGGTTTTCCTCGCCTGCAGTCCAGTAACTGAAGAGAGTGCCGAGGGAGGGGCTTGCAATGTGGCCCAAGACTGAACACTGCCCCCCTTGGCCTGGTCAGATCTTGTCCTTTGGGGAGAGATGGAAGGAGGTTAAAATGAGTGTGTGGTGAGCTGTCAAGAATTGTGGGAGCCAATATCCTCTCACTTGGGAATTCTTATTGGTCTGCACTGTGCTGAGGATACCCAAGCTGCTGGCACACCAAAGGTGGTGAGCTGGGTATTCTCCATGTGTCCCTCTAGACCCACCCTGTGCTCTCTCTTTTCTATTCTGTGACCATAGGGTTGACCTTGATGTGCTGTATTAATGGTTCTCTTGACCTCTGATTCAGCCAAAGGGCAGGGAATAAAATGCGAGTGTACTAGGAGAGAGAGGATGGCAGGGTATTATCTCCCTCCCTCCCTCCTTGTCAGACGCTGAGTGATACCTGGCTGTGTCCCTCTACTATGAACCTCGGCTCCTGTCAGGTGGCCCTCTTGAACCAACTACACTTACCGCTTTCCGAAGTTCTGCGACCACCCTCCCCCCTTGTCCCCCAGAGCTGGTAATGACACCTGACTATTGCTAGCCCGGCGGTCCTTCCCCATCGCATTGGTTTTTCATCACTCTTCCCACCACCTCTGCATGCAGTCCTTTCATTACACTCTGTTCCGTTTGAGTGCCGTCTGGGTCCCGTGGGGCCTCTGACTGATACAGAAGAAGACGTTCTGAGTTTGGAGAGACAGACTTCTCTGGCCACCACTGCCTTCCATGAGATGACTGGTTCTCCACTCCCAAGTGCATATCTCTTGGGATGGGGAAAAACAAGCCCCAAATAGAATTATTTTATACAGTGCTGGCTCAGGGCATACACAATACAGGCTCTCCGTGCAAAGTACTGAGAGTATCAATGCGCATTCAATACACGACTGTCTCCGGAGCATCAAGAATATTCCAGGGTTTTGGACTGTGGCCAAAATTAATTTTATATGTTGGAGTTCTAGATGCTGAATACACACAAAACAAACTTAATATTCAGCCTTATATTTTATGATGTGTGTTGCTTTTCCTCATTTGTTCTATTTTAGGCCAAAGCCCATTAATGGGTTGAGATTCACAACTGGGGAAACAAGGATCAGGTGGGCTTTCCAGGCACCAATGTGATGGGGGCTGTGTTACCCTGGAGGGTGATAGAATATGTAAAGATTAGTTCTTGATCTCTTCTAAGGAGGCGTGGCCACATGAATGGGGAACACTCAAGTGGAGGTTATTTTACTTATCGAGTGCCGCTCTAACCAAAATGCCATAAGCGGGTGACTTTAAAAGGCAGGAACATCCCTGAAATCCAAGACAGATTTAGAAGAGAACATGGAACAAGGGACATCAATACCAATGTCCAGTGGATTCTTGGCTGACAGCAGAGAATACTAGAAAGGTGTTCCCTGTGTTTTATTGATGATGCAAAAGCATGCAATTATGTGGCTCATAACAAACAGGGGATAACATTGTACAGAATGGGAACGCTTCAATCCAAGACAGATAACCCCCTCAGGACCAATAATGAGAGCAGTGATACCAGGAGGGGAAGGGGAAGGTGGGGGGAGAAGAGGTAACCGATCACAATGATCTACATATAACCTCCTCCCAGCAGGGATGGATAGTAGAAAAGTGGGTGAAGGAAGATATCAGTTAGTGTAAGACATGGGAAAAAATTATCAAGGGTTCACGACGGAGGGAGGGAGGGTGGGGGAGGGGGGAAATGAGTTGATACCAAGGGCTCAAGTAGAAAGAAAATGTTTTGAGAATGATGATGGCAAGATATGTACAAATGTGCTTGACACATGGATGGATGGATGGATGGTGATAAGCGCTGTAAGAGCCCCCAATAAAAAGCATTTTAAAAAATAGAATTATAAGAGAGAAAAAAAGAATGGGAACACTT